CCACACGTTTACGGTCAAATGATTTTTTGGCAAAGGTTCTGAGAGTCCACAATGGAGAAAGAACAGTCAGTTTAAAAGCAATATTGGGAAAACCGGATATCCATATGCAGAAGAATGAAACTGAACTCCCATCTCACACCATGTACAAAAATCAACTCAAAATGGATTAAAGACAAAATTTAAGACCTGATGTGGTAAAACTGCTGGAAGAAAACAACCAATTTATGACACTGTTTTGGACAATGATCTTTTGAATATAACCCAAAAGGCACAGGTAACAAAAACAAAAGTAGACAAATGGGATCATATCAAACTAAGAAGCTCTTACACACCAAAGGAAACAATCAACAAGGTGAAGAGACAACCTACACAGTGGGAGAAAATATTTGCAAATCATAAATTTTATAAGGGGTTAATGCCCCAAATCTATAAGGAACTAAAACAACTTATAGCAGGACAACAAATAACCCAATTTAAAAATCTGCAAAGGACTTGAAGAAACATGTATTATAAGAAAACATATAAGTGGCCAACAGATATATGAAAAGTCACTCAGCGTTACTAATTATCAGAGCAATGCAAATTAAAATCACAATGAGATATCACCTCATACCTGTTAGAGTGGCTATTACCAAAAAGACAAAAGGTAAGTGTTGGCAAGGATATTGAGAAAGAGATACCTTTGTGCACTTCATGGAAACGTAAATTACTATAGCTATTACATAGAACAGTATGGAGGTTCCAAAAAAAAAAAAAAAAAGCTACAAATAGCACTACCATATGATCCAGCAATCCCACTACTGGACATATATCCAAAGCAAATGAAATCAGTATGTCAAACAGATATCTGTACTCCATATTTACTGAGACACTATTCGCAATAGCCAAGGAACGGTATCCGCCTAAGTGTCCATCAATAGATAAATGGATGAAGAAAATGTGGTACATATACACAATGGAATTGTTTTCAGTATCAAAAAGAGGATTATTTGCCACAACATGGATGAACCTGGAGGATGTTATGCTACAAGAAATAAGCCAAGCACATAAAGACGAATACCGCATGATCTCCCTCACCTGTGAAATCTAAAAAAGTTGATTCATACAAATAAGGGTAGAATGGTAGTTACCAGAGGCTAAGAGTTGGGAGGGTGGAGGAATAGGGAGATGTTGATCAAAGAATATAAAGTTGGCCGGGCATGGTGGTTCACACCTGTAATCCCAGCACTTTGGGAGGCTGAGGCGGGAATATCACGAGGTCAAGAGATCGAAACCATCCTGGCCAACATGGTGAAACTCTGTCTCTATTTAAAAACAAACAAACAAACAAACAAAATTAGCTGGGCGTGGTGGTGCACACCTGTAGTCCCAGCGACTCAAGAGGCTGAGGCAGGAAAATAACTTGAACCTGGGAGGCGGAAGTTGCAGTGAGCTGTGAGATCACTCCGCTGCACTACAGCCTGGGCGACAGAGAGAGACTCTGTCTCAAAAAAAAAAAAAAAAAAAAAAAAAGAAAGAAAAAGGTATAAAGTTTCAGTTAGACAAAAGGAATGAGTTTTCCAGATCTACTGCATAGCATAGTGATCATAGTTCATCATATATATTACATTTCAAATATATATGTTAAGTATTCATCTCGCTGAAAGAATATATTTTGAAAGTTCTGACTACAAGAAAATAAGTATATTAATGTATATTAATTAGCTCCATATAATCATTCCACAATTTATACATATATGTAAACATCACATTGTATCCCATAAGTATATACAATTATTGTCAATTTAAAATTTACACTAAAAAATCTTTAAAACAGAAATAGAAGAATTGGCTAAATTGGATAAAATAAAATATATTACTAAAATTATAAAAGTAACGCAATTTATGTTATTTGAAGATTAAATGGCATTTTCCATTTAAAGTATTTAGCGCAATGTCAATCACAAAGTAACAACTTAATAATTAAGAACACAGATTTTTGTTTTTATTGCATTATTGTTAACATTATTTTAAAGTTAAAGAGAAAGAGTTCCACAAATTTTTTTCAAAAATCTTCAAATACATATCAATGAAGCATTAAGTTATTGGGCACAAGTTTTTGTTTTTTAATTTAACCATTATAATATCTCTTGAATTACCATATTCTTTCTATCTGCAGTGGTACATTTCACCACATCGTAACCCTTGAACATTATGATAGTTATTTAGTTGGATGCTGGCTTTACTAACAACCAGCTCACTCTCTACATAACTACCAAAATGATGTTTTTAAAGAAGAATAAGAGTCCAGATATAATTTTGTAGAGTAATTTTACCCTGCTCTTATCTGCTAAGTACAACTATAATCTCTCGGGGGAGAAAATACAAAATGAAGTCAAACAGTAACTCTAAAAATTAGAAATACAAAGGTACACTGGTTAGGAACCCTGGGTGTGGAAAAGCAACATAAGGACAGGGCATCTTACTATCCTTCATCCCCCCAAAAAAGTAACCCTGGCCAATGCCTAGGAGGTTCATTCTCTCTTGGATCACATATGAGTTCTCTCAGCAATACCAGGGAAGTCCAGTACCACTGGCAAAGAGGGTTGATCTGGATCCACACTAAGAATAAACAGCCAGAGGAAGCATTGTCCTTCCCTGAAATGCTAGAGACCTACCCTCCCTCACTGAGAGTAGCCAAGTGAACTAGTGACAACAAGCTGCCATACCTGGAACATGACCTTTTACTTATAGACAGGAAAAGCTTCTTCCTTACCTTGAGACACTAGGTGATGCAGCATGGGGCAACCCCTCCTGCCCCATTGAGAAGAACCAGCAAAGACCAGGGAGAGTTTCAGCCTCACTAAATAAATCAAGCAGACCAAAACAGCAAGGCGAAACTCTAAAAATGAAACTATCTTTGAAACCACAGCCAAAAAAAAAAAAAAGTGCTGTGGAACTGCATGTTACAACTATACAGAGAGCTGCTTACTATAATAAAAAATTTAAATAGGGCCTAGAATCTTCTAATATAATATAAAAAATGTTCAGGACATAATAAAAAAAGAAAAAAAATCTCAACACAGCAAGAACCAGGAATATTATAACTTGAATGAGATAAGCAATTTAATGTCGCTAACACTTAGTGAATCAAATGCTGGAATTATATGGCAAGAATTCTAAAGCAGTCATCAAAAACTTTTCTAGAAGCAATTACAAATTTCCTTGCAACAACAAAAAAAGACTTTCTAATCTCAGCAAAGAAATAGAGGTTATGAAAAAGAACCAAATGTAAATAATAGAACTGAAAGATACGATAATAAAAATCTAAAAAACTTGCTGGATAGGTTCGGTGGTAGGTCATAGATAACAGAGGATAGGATCAGTTAACTTTAAAACAATCAATAGAACATACACAGTTTTCACAACAGAGAGGGAAAAGAGAGAGTGCAACAGAGAGTGTGCACAAGAGAGGATGTAAAAATAGAAGAAATAAAACTGCCCCTACTTACAGATGTCATGATTGTCTTCGTAGAAAACCCATGGCATCTATAAAAATGCTTCTAGAATGAATACGTGAGTTCGGCATGATTACAAAATACAAGATCAATACACAAAAATCAATCACATTACTGTATAATACCAATGAACTTCGGTAGACCAAAATTAAAAACATAATACTATTTATAATCAGTCTAATGAAAATGAAGTACTTACTGAGGTATATACTTACTGAAACCTGTACAGAGTCTATATGTGGAAACTTATTAAATGCTGTTGAAAGAAATCAAAGGAAACCTAAATAAATATAGAAACATAATATGTTCATAGATTTGAAAATTCAACATTGAAAAAAATGTGAATTCCCCCCAGATTGTTCTATGGGTTCAATGACAATTACTATCAATAGTCCAGTAAGAATTTTTTTTTTTTTTTTTTTTTGAGACAGAGTCTTGCTCTATCGCTCAGGCTACAGTGCAGTGGCGTGATATGGCTCAGTGCAACCTCCATCTCCTGAGTTTAAGCTATTTTCCTGCCTCAACCTCCTGAGTAGCTAGGATTACAGGTGCCTGGCTAATTTTTGTATTTTTAGTAGAGACAGGGTTTCACCATATTGGCCAGGCTGGTCTCGAACTCCTGACCTCATGATACACCCACCTCGGCCTCCCAAAGTGCTAGGATTACAAGCATGAGCCACCACACCTGGCACCCAGTAAGAATTTTTACAGGCATAGACAAGCTCATTATACAATATATACATAAAAAAACATAGCTCTAGAATAGCTTTTTAAAAAATCTTTGTACAGAAAAATAGAAGAAATTACTCTATTTGATATAAAATCTTTTTATAAAGTGACTGTAAACAAGGCACCATGATACTGACAGAGGGATTATAGATTAGTGGAACAAAATAGAGAACGCAGAAATACACCTACATGAATATACTTAACTAATTTTTGACAAAGATGCAAAAGCAATTCCAAGGAGGAAATATACCCTTTTCAACAAATGGTATTGAAGCAACTGGACATCCGTAGGCAAGAAAATAAGCCTTGACCTAATTCTCAAGCCTTATACAAAAATTTATTCAAAATCAATCATAGATGTTAGTATAAAAGTATAAAACTTTTAGAAAAAAATATAGGAGACAGTCTTTAAAGTCTAAAGCTAGTGAAGAGTTGTTAGACTTGACATTAAGAGATGATCCATAAAAGGCAAAATCGATAACATGGACCCCACCAAAATTAAAAAGTTTTGCTTTGTGAGAGCTTGTGTGAAGAGGATGAAAAGACAATCTACACAATGGAAGAAAATACAAACCACATGTCTGAAAAAGGGCAGCTATTTAGAAGACAGAAAGAATTCTCAAAACTCAACGATGAAAAACAATTTAATTAGAAAATGGCACAAAACATGAATAGACACTTCACCTAAGAGTGTGTACACATGGCATACATGCACATGAAAAGATATGCAATGTCATCAGCCATTAGCAAAATGCAAATTTAAACCGCAGTGACTGCTTGTTTCAGTAGCACATATGCCAAAATACTATGTAACAGAGAAGATTAGTATAGCTCCTGCACAAGGATAAAACACAAAGTGATAAACTGTCCCATATTTTGCATTCCTTTTCTAATGTTTACAGATAGGAAAACTGAGGCTCCAATAAGCAAAGTGACTTTCCCAACTAAAAGTCATTTCAGCTTTAAACTATTTCCAATTCCTCTTCTAACAAACAAAAACCACAATGAGGTATCACTGAGTATCTATCAGAAGAGGTATAATTAAGGCCAGGCACAGTGGCTCACGCCCATAATCCCAGCACTTTGGGAGGCTGAGGCGGGTGGATAACCTGAGGTCAGGAGTTCGAGACCAGCTTGCCCAACATGGTGAAACCCTGTCTCTACTAAAAAAATAAAAATTAGCCGAGCATGGTGGCGGGTGCCTGTAATCCCAGCTACTCAGGAGGCTGAGGTAGGAGAATTGCTTGAACCCAGGAGGTGGAGATTGCAGTGAGCTGAGCTCGTGCCACTGCACTCCAACCTGGGCGACAGAGGGAGACTGTGTCTCAAAAAATTGAACCCAGGAGGTAGATTGAGTGAGCTGAGCTCGTGCCACTGCACTTCACCTGGGCGACAGAGGAGATTGAATTAAAAAAAAAAAAAAAAAAAAAAAAAATAGATGTAATTAAAATACTGGAATGATGTGTGACTATATATTATTTAATTCTATGTCTTCTTTTTTCTTTTTTCTTTTTTTTTTTTTTTGAGATGGAGCCTCACTCTGTCGCCCAGGCTAAAAGACTCTCCTAAAATGGAAACTAATTTTCAGTCTGTTGGACAAACTACTAGTATGATTTGATATTTACAGATATTTTTACCATGCACTAGTAATAGACAGAATAAACTAATACTTTCAGAATTTGGTGGTTGTTTTGCACTTAATGTATGAAGATAACATTGTACCAAATTATGCATTATTCATTGAGGAAAAAGAAGTCAACCAATATCCAATACATTTAAAATGTTTCATACTCTGAAATAATCCAATATGTTACATTTTGAATGTGGAAACTGTCAAAATACTATTTCAAGCTGTTTCTTTTATCTTAGATTGATTTTACTCATTTTTATGCTCTGAATATTTTGTTTTCAATAGGCTAAAAAAGGATAGTACATTTTATTGTTCATTTTAATCATGTGTATGTCTATGTCATGAGCTTGATCTAAAAGACATTTTAAGAACTACTAGAAGATGTTACAAAGTAATTTGAACATCACTGAAATTTATTTCTACTTTTGATATCAAAGGCCCAATTGTAACTATTTCATTTTCTCTTAATATTTATGAGGCAACTGTGGACAAATTTCAGTTCTTCACACACAACAGTAAAAAGATTTGGATAAAAGATTTCGTTTTTCTCCATGGTTATTTGTTCATTAAATTCTTGCTAGTAGATTTTACTTTTTAAAGCAGTTTTAGATTTGAAGAAAAATGAAATAGAAAGTACAGAGTCTCCATGTACCCCCTGATTTCTCCCCTTATACATAGTTTCCCCTATTATTAACGTTTAGTATTAGTGTAGTACATTTGGTACAATTGATGGGCTAATATTAATAGCAGTTACAAATCAAAATCCATAGTATATTAGAGTTCACTCTGTGTTGTAAACTTATGAGTTGGTAGATGTATGACACACATTCACCGTTACAGTATTATACAGAATAGTTTCATTGCCCGGAAAAATCCTCTGTTCTTCACCTGTTAATCTCTCCTTTCCTTCCACCTCAATCCTTAGAAACCATTGATCTTTTTACTGCCTCCATAGTTTTGTCATTCCACAATGTCATATAGTTGGAATTATATAGTATATAACCTCTTCAGATTGACTGCTTTTTTTTTTTAATTTTTTTTTTTTTAAATGTTTTTCGAGACAGAGTTTCACTCTTATTGCCCAGGCTGGAGCACAACGGTTTGGTCTCGGCTCACTGCAACCTCTGCCTCCCAGGTTCAAGTGATTCTCCTGCCTCAGCCTCCCAAGAACTAAGATTACAAGCACCCACCACCACGCCCAGTCTAATTTTTGTATTTTTAGTAGAGATAGTGTTTCACCATCTTGGCCAGGCTGGTCTCAAACTCCTGACCTCAGCTTATCTGCCTGCCTTGGCCTCCCAAAGTGCTGAGATTACAGGCATGAGACATGGCACCCTGCAGATTGACTACTTTCAATTACTGATTTGTTTATATGGTTTCTCAATGTCTTTCGATGGCTTGATAGCTCATTGACATGTATCACTAAATAATATTTCATTATATGGATATACCACAGTTTGTTTATCCATTCTTTGTGTCTTTGTGTCTTTCACAAAGCATAAACTTCTCATTTTCATAAAGTTCATCTTATAATTTTTCCTTTAATTGATGATACTTTCGGTGTTGTACTTACAAAGTCACCTCCAAATCAAGATCCTCTATATGTTCTCCTATATTGTTGCCTAGGAGTTTTATAGTTTTGCATTTTATTTTTAGGTCTATGATTCATTTTGAATTAATTTTTGTGAAAAGTGTAGGATTTGTGTCTAGATTTATTCTTCTGCATAAGGATGTCCAATTGTTTAACCATCATTTGTTGAAAAGATGATCCTTTTTCTACTGAATTACCTATGCTTTTTTGTTAAAGATCGACTGACTATAATTGCATGGGTCTATTAATGGTCTCTCTATTCTATTCCGTGGCTCTATTTGCCTGTTTTTTCACTAATCCCACACTGACTTGAATACTGTAGCTTTATAGTAAGTCTTGAAGTCTGGTTGTGTTAGTCCTTTCACTGTTCTTCAATGTTGTGTTGTCTATTCTAAGTCCTCTCCCCCTTCATGTAAACTTTAGAATGAGTCTGTGGGATCCAAAAAATAACTTGCTGTGATTTGTTCATTTGATTTTTGGTATGATTAACCCCTTAGATTTTATTCTTTTTTTAAATCTTCAATTTTAAAACTATCACTATACAAAGATCCAAATTATTTTCTCCAATACAGGATTAATCTTAACCTTTAAGCAGTTCATTGTATATATTGAGGTCACAATTTGTTTTGAACATCAATTAAGCATACTGCCTAATGATTTATTTTCTATTACCTGCAGCCTAAAATAAAGAACGAAGTTTTGTCTTTTTTTTTTTTTTTTAATAAATCAGTGTTGAAATTGGAACTGTATTGAAAAGAATTCACAAAGAAGCAAACAACAACAAAACATCTTCACAGTAGGAAATAGTAATATAGCAGAGATGGAATCAGACTAAAAATTCTTGAAGTTTTTTTCTTTGCTTTTGTTTTTTGTTTTAAGATGGAGTCTCATTCTGTCGCCAGCCTGGAGTGCCTTGTTTTGAGACGGAGTCTCATTCTGTCGCCAGGCTGGAGTGCAATGGTGTGATCTTGCTCCTGCTCACTGCAACCTCCACCATCCAGGTTCAGATGATTCTCCTGCGTCAGCCTCCCGAGTAGCTGGGATTACAGCCTCCCGCCACCATGCCCAGCTAATTTTTGTATTTTTAGTAGAGACAGGGTTTCACCATGTTGGCCAGGCTGGTCTCAAACTCCTGACCTCGTGATCCACCCATCTCAGCCTCCCAAAGCGCTAGGATTACAGGAGTGAACCACCGCACCCGGCCAATCCTTAAAGTTTTTATGATTTATTTGAATTTGATTTATTTTTATAGACACTGATTAATTTATATACAAATTTTAAGACATGTTATTTTCAGGACATAAAACCCAGACTAGAAAGTGAAACTAGAAGCATTCATATTATCATTTCAGTTAATTAGGTACCCATCCACTGTGGTGTCAAGTTAATTATGCAAAGGTCTACAAAAATATTTATGGGGTTGTAAAATGTTAGGAGACTAATAAATTTAATATATCTATAAATTTCTGGCATAGTATATATCTTTTAAGACTATAGAAAATACTTACTCGGTGCATATGTTTTGTGCTTGGGTTTGTATTCAATCTTAAATCAGTTATTGTGGTAAAAGTCACCTTTACAAAAAAAGTTTCAAGTCACTTATTCTAAGCAAATTTTATACAGCAAACTGTCAATATTTTGCAGCCTTTGTATTGCCTGGGGAGTTCATGTGCAAAACATTTTACCTATATTGGAAATCATATTTTGATCAATGCACTTGTGAAATACATACTTACTGATTTTTTTTTTAGGTTGGCAAAAGTAATAATTTATACTGACTACAAGCTCAGGGCCCTTTCCTTCCATTACCTTATCTTATTCTCCTAACATCCACATGCAGTGGGTGGTACAGATGGTGTTGTACCTACCTCACCCATGAAGAAATACAAGAAGAATCATAAAGAAATTGCCCAAGTTTACACTAACTAGTAGTTATCAGAATTTAACCAAAATAAATGTGATTCCAAGTAGAATGTTCTTCTATAACACCATATCCAGAGATGAAGAAAGAATAAAGAAGGGCTGGGCATGGCAGCTCACACCTGTAATCCCAGCACTTTGGGAGACCAAGGTGTGTGGATTACCTGAGGTCAGAAGGTCAAGACCAGCCTGGGTAACATGGTGAAAGCCTGTCTCCACTAAAAATACAAAATTAGCTGGGCGTGGTGGTGCGTGCCTGTAGTCCCAGCTACTTGGGAGGCTGAGGCAGGAGAATCACTTGAATCCAGGAGGCAGTGAGCTGAGATCACGCCATTGCACTCCAGCCTGGGCAACAAGAGTGAAACCCCATCTCAATAAGTGAATGAATAAATAAATAAATAAATAATAAAACTCTAGGCTGGGCACAATGGCTCACACCTGTAATCCTAGCACTTTGGGAGGCCAAGGCAAGTGGATTGCTTGAGGTCAGGAGTTGAAGACCAACCTGACAAACACAGTGAAACCCTGTTTCTACTAAAAATACAAAAAAAAAAAAAAAAATTAGCTGGGCATGATGACAGGCACCTGTAATCCCAGCTACTCAGGAGGCTGAGGCATGAGAATTGCTTGAACCCTGGAGGCGGAGGTTGCAGATCATGCCACTGCACTCTAGCCTGGGTAACAGAGCAAGATGCTGTCTAAAAAAAAAAAGAAAAAAGAAAAAGAAAAACAAACAAA